AAGGGAAGGATGGTCTGTCTCTCTGATTCTCTATAGTCCCCCTTTGAAGTCTGAGGCTAAGAGGCAGCGCAAAGTTCTTCACTTCCAACACCTTTAAGGAGCTCAAGGTGGCAAACATGGTTCTCTCCTCTTCCTCCTCCATGCTATCATCACAACAACCCTGTCAGGTAGGTTAGGTTGAGAGAGATAGGCTGTTCCAAGGTCACCTAGTAGGTTTTGTGGCAAGTGAGGATTTGAACCTGGGTCTCCCCAATGCCAGTCTGACATTCTAACCTCTGCACCATACTGGCAATTGAAGGCTGACTGCCTCTGTATATGGAGGTTCCCTTCACTCACCATAGCTAGTAGCTGTTGATGGACCTCTCCTCCATAAATGTGTCCGACCCCCTTTTAAAGCCATCTGTGCTTGTGGCCATCACTACATCCACTGGCAGGAAATCCCACAATTCATTCACTTACTGAGTGCAAAGGAACAGCCGTATCAATCTGTAGCAGCGAGATAAAACAGGAGTGCTAATGGCACCTTAAAGACTACCAAAATTTATTCCAGCATAGGTTTTTGTGAGTCACAGCTCACTTAATCAGGTGAACTAAAGTGTTCATCATTTTGGCAGAAGTATATGCAGACTTCAGTGAAGAACTAGCACCTTTTGTCTGTCCCTCAGACAGTGCCCTCTACTCCTCTAGGCAGCATCACACTTTCCTCATTCCCAGCACCACTGCCTGCAATAGGACACGGTGCGCCCAAGGGCTGCGCAGAGCATGGGAGCTATGGGGCATTTTTTGTAGCCATGCAAAACTCTTCCACTAGCTGCATTGCCGGAGCTGTGGGGCATTTTTTTGCAGCCATGCAAAACTCTTCCACTAGCTGCATGTTTGCTTGCAGCCAGAGGAAAAGAGATTGCTGGTGAGAGCGTTCATGCAAAAAGCAAAGCCACCCCACCCCGGGGAAAAGGAGCATCAGAGGCAAGGTTGGGTGAAGGACATAGAGATACAAGTAAATTACAGTAGAAAAGAGACCAGGAGCACCTTAAAGGCTAACAGAATTCGTGGTAGGGTATGAGCAGTGACTCACGAAAGCTCCTACCCTTTCACAAATTTTGCTGGTCTTTAAGATGCCACTGGACTCTTTTCTACTGCCACAGACAGACTAATGTCAGCTGCCCATCTTGATCTAAGCAAATGACAGTCATCTAAATGTCCGATATTCCACTGAAAGCCACCCCAGGGCACTGAGTGGCTCTGCCTGGGGAAACAGATAGGGTGGAAAGGCAGGCAGGAGAAACAGTTCTTTTGTCTGCAGGGTGGATGTCCTGGTTGTGTTTGAAGCTGCATTAAGCCATTGAATGGGAATAGTGGTAGCTGCTCACAGGAAACCATTAAGAAATGCTGGACGTATCCACTTAAAATCACTTGGTACTTTCTCAAGACCTCTTACATACTTTGAAGTCTTACTTAAGAACGTTGTCAGTGACGATACAGGATTAATATCAAAAATATATAAAATATTAATCACCCCAGATTTGAATAAATTGCTTAGATATCAAGAACAATCGTCTCTGGATTGTGGATTTCCCTCAACAGCTCAGCACTAGAAGATAGTTTGGTCCTCTCCCAATGTCTCAAATATATTCAATGTGAAGTTCCAATTTTTCAAGGTTTTCTCTCGCTGGTATCTCACTCCGAAAAGGCTTTCCCATATTTACCCTTCCAACTCCCAAAAACGCTGGAAAACTTTTGGTCAAGTTGGAACTTACCGACATTGTTGGTGGGATTGCTTTCAAATAAGCAAATTTTGGTTGGAAATTGTTAACCGGATTAAAATGGTCACAAGCATTGAGTTACCTTTCACACCTAAAGGGATATTATTAAACTATTAGATATATTCATTAGCAACTTTACAAGGGAATTGATCGCTATCTTACTGGCAGCGGCCTTATTAATAATAGCTGCAAAATGGAAGGACCATGCACCCCTCTTTGTATCTAATTGGCATGAAAAAAATCTGGGGTCAGTTCATAATGGGGAAACATCTAGATAACATATCCCATTCAGATGAACCACAGTATCATTCCAAATTTGTAACGATATGGTACCCAGCAGGGGTCATTTCGTAGAAAAAGAGCTAGGGGAACTCATTAGCATAACTCATTAGCATATGCCACACCCCCTGACATCAGGGGCCCGGCGGTGGACCTGCAAGGCCAGCAGGAGTGCGAGGAAGCCCCGCCAAGGCCCTCCCTGGCCCCAGGCAGGCAGGGGTGGGGAGAGGCAGGGAGGAAGCAACTTACCCTCCCTCTTCTCCTGCCTCCTCCTGGCTGAATGAGGGCTGGAAGCGAGGCGGGCGGAAGCAGGGGGCGGGGCTTCATCATGTGCCCCGCCCCCCTGATGAACCACAGTATCATTCCAGATTTGTAACGATATGGTACCCAGTTCTGCAATACATGGCAGAACAAAGTATAATTCCTGTAAACCTTCTATACAAACCATTTCTACATTTTTAGGTAAATGTGGTATGGTGGTCAGAATTTTATTGAGAGTTTTATCAAATCTTAACAAATTTATTATAAAAATCATGGCTGAAATTAGTATTGATGTCATTTGTAATGTTAACGGGTGATTATTGTAGATGTTTATGGTTTATTGTCTTGTATTGGATATTATATAATTCATACATTTAATTTTTTTTAAAAGAAATGCTGGGCTTAGCATGGCATAGGTGACAACCACGACATTTTGTCACACACACACACCCCCGGCCAAGACAGAAATTCAGGGTCTTCGGAATTCTGGTCATCTTCTGTTGAAGCTATGTGAATTAAGAGCAGGAGGCTTACAGGGCATTTCATTTCCTCATCTTCCCCACTATTTCCTCTTTCTCTTTCCTGAAAGCCCTGATTGCCTCTCACCTTTTCCTGACTCCTTCTCTCCTTCTCACCCACCAGCCATCATACCTTACTGCCCTCCCCCGTCTTCAGTTTCTCCTCCTTCCATACTCCTGGTACCCCTCCCTGGTAAAAGTCCGGCCGAGTTGCACTTGGGGAATCTGCAAGGGCTTATGAAGAACACCTCAGTTTCCCCTGTATCCTTTCCCTCCCACTATTTCCTCTTTCCCACCTCCTGGCAGCTCCCATACCTTCACCTTTCCCTGCCTCCTCCTCTCCTTCCCAGCTACCCACCAACCTACATTTTATCTGCCCCTCATCTTCAGTTCTATTTATTATTTATTATTTATTCACTTTCTTCAGAAGCATCTTACATTACTCTCTTCCATTGTACCTTCACAAAAATCCTATAAGGCAAATTAAGCTGAGAATGTGTGAGCAGCCCAAGGTCACCCAGCAAGATGCCATGGTAGAGTGGGGGATTTGAACCCGGATCTCCTAGATCCTAGTCTGAAACTCTCAGCTACTACACCACATCGTTTTTTTGAGAGGTGGCTGCTGTTGAACAGTAGCAAGCAGCTAGGCCTGGGAGAGGCATGCGAGTCATGTGGTGTCAAGTCACCTGGTGGTTGCTGCTGGCCCTGGTGAGTCCTCCCTCAAAGGCCAAAACAGCCCTGGAAAGGGCCCTGTCCCCACCCACTGCCTTTTAATGACAAAAATCAAGGCTGGCAATACTGTTGTGGTTGTTTAGCAATGGCCACAGAAAACATTTTTTTTTTCTTAAAGCTACAGGCACTGCTTCTAGGGTTTGCTTTCTTTAGATTTCCTATTCCTCAGGGAAGCTACAGGCACTGCTTCTAGGGTTTATTTGCTTTAGATTTCCTATTCCTCAGGGAGGCGGAGGACCGTTTCTCTTGCACGCCCCCGTGGCCATTGTAGCATCGGCGGCCATAACCTTTTAAAGAGCACCTAACGAGAGCTGGGGGAGCCGGAATGACCTCTCGCGTGTGATGTCTGAGCGAGAGGTGGAATTTCATTACACTTGAGAGGTGGAATTTGCCCCTAGGAGTCCAAGGCCACCACCCCAAGGCTCAGGGAGGCGGGGGAACGTTTTGCCCCGCCCTGCGCCCGCCCACGGCCATTTAAGCTGCAGCCGACAGTGGCGGTGGCCATAACTTAACCAACAGCATTTGATGTGACATCACATGCGAGAGGTGGAATTTGCCCCAAGAAGTCCAAGGCCACCACCCCAAGGTTCAGGGAGGCGGGGAACGTTTTGCCCCACGCCCGACAGCGGCAGTGGCCATAACTTTTTAAAGACCCCCTAAGGAGGGCTGGGGGAGCCGGAATGATCTCTTGCGTGTGATGTCATGTGTGATGTGACATCACACGCGAGAGGCGGAATTTGCGCCAAGAAGTCCAAGGCCTACTCTCCATTATTCTCTATGGGCACTCATGTATTCCCTATGGGCAATCGTTGTCCTTAGTTTTAGTACGTCCCATGGGGTGTGTGTGCTGCTGCTGACCGATTAACAACAACCCTACACTGCTGTTTACTATTAACGGGCCCAAGGAGTTTGACGGAAAAAACAGAGGCTAAGAGAGGCAGACAATGACCCACACAACAACCCTGCAACGCAGTCCTCCCGTAATATCTCCATATTGCAAAGGAAAAGCACTCGAGGGCCGAGGCCTAATGCTCTTCCACGAAGGCGCTTTAGCCTCCTACCTTTCTTTTAAAAAAGGGCTACCGAACAATACCAGAAATCCAAGTGCACTTTTACTATCAGGCGTTTTTTCTACCTCTTTAGTGGAAAACCTCAGTTCCGTTTCACACCGGTAGTTTCTCTGTTACCTTCCCACCAAAGTGGTACCTATTTATCTACTTGCAATTTCTTGCTTTCGAACTGCTAGGTTGGCAGGAGTTTAGCCCCCTACCTTTCTTTTAAAAAAGGGCTACCGAACAATACCAGAAATCCAAGGGCACTTTTACTATCAGGCGTTTTTTCTACCTCTTTAGTGGAAAACCTCAGTTCCGTTTCACACCGGTAGTTTCTCGCCAAGTCCGGTTCCCTCCGAAAGGGTTGCTGGGAACTGTAGTCCCCCTGTTGCGCACGCTCAGCTCACACGCTGGCTGGGTCGGGAACAGAATGGCTGCCGGAGTGGGAGATTTCGGATCGGGGGGCCGGCTGGATCCGGGCGTGCTTATGGAGCAGGTCAAGGTGCAGATTGCCGTGGCCAACGCGCAGGAGCTGCTGCAGGTGCGAGGGGGCGGGGGGGGGAAGAGGTTTTACGACGGTTGAGCCTCCTGGGTCAGGAGTAGCTTGCTGAATCTTGGGTGTCAAAAAGACACTGCCCCCCATGTATCTTGGGAGCAGGCGAGCAGCTCTCATTGTTATGAAAAAAATTCACGGATCGTTAGCAAGCTTTAAACGCTGGTGGCTAAATGGAACTGCTTTATACAAGGGTTATCTATCCCTCCCTGAAAGCCAGATGGTGGGGGAGAAATCAAACGAGAAAAACCCACAACCTTCATGTATTGCTTGTGACCTTCCAGAGAGGGGCGGCTGCCTGCTTCTTCTTAAAAGCAGGATGGGGGGGTTAGGCTCTGGGGGGGACTGCTGTGGCGTTTCAGGTCTCTGCGGAGGAGTATTTTGACCTATCTTTTACAGCAAAAGGCACTGGGAGAGGTGACTACCCACAGCTGTTAGCCAGGATGGCAAGTTAGAACCTCCAGGTGCAGGAAGGCCTTCCCCACCCTGCTTTTGGGCTTTCCATTGGAAACAGTGTAGCCTAGTTCTTAGAGTCCACTGAGCTAGGATCTTGAAGACCTGGGTTCAACTCTCCACTCTGCCGTAGGAACTCAAGTCTGTCTCAGCCTAGCCTATCTCATGGGGTTGTTCTGAGGATAAAGTGGAGGAGAAAGATGCATGAGGTTCTGAGCGCCTTAGAAGGACAAGATTGACCTCCCTTGAGAACAGAACACGGGGCCAAGTGGGCCCACCTGGATGCCTGCCTTCGAAGGTGTTTTGAAAACGAAGTCTTGTGCATTAATGGAGTGTTGTTACCTGCCCTGCTTCTTGGACCTCTCACCGCCATCTGCCTGGCCGGGCTGGGGCCGCAGCTGGACTTTGGTCTGCTTCTGCAGGGCCGTTTTTTCTCAGCGAGGGAGGTCAGGGAGAGGGAAGAGAGGCCTGCTCCGGCCACGTCTTAATGGGCAGGACGTAGCTGTTTCCAGGTGTGGGATAGGGTGCGGGCTTGCCCTCCTGGATGCAGGTTTTTGTATGGAGTCGGGGGTCTTAATCTGTGCTTGCAGGGGGGGGGCTGTCCAGCAGTACATGCCTCAGTGCTGCTTATGAGACAGATGGTCAGAGAGGGATGTGTGTCTTATTGGGGCAATTCCTAGAGCTCCGTGCCAGTGTTCTTCACTGTTCTGCATCATCAAAAGGGAGAGGGGAGATCAAACAACACTTTAGTATGGCAACACAAACAAGCCATGCTGGAGTTTAGAAGCAGCCTGCCCTCCAAAGTGGCATCTGGTAGGTGGCCTTGAAGTGCCGGCCCTGCCCCGCACAAGGATGGTGGTGGCATCTGTACCTGGAGCCTGCCGCTAACCAACCCCATGCTCTGCAAGTGGGCGAGAAAGCAGCAACACTGATTGAGCAACCCTTCAAAAGGTCAAATGCATCAAAATCGGCTTCCCTACGTTCACCTGACCAACTCCTTCCCCAGCTTGTCTGGGATACACAGAGGCGTTTGTGGTGGTTGCAGTCCAGAGTGTTGAGTTTGCTTTGTAAACCGGCCATGGAAAGGTAGCAAGGCTTTATTTTTCTCTCTCCATTTTGTGTTTGGCTCTTCTGTCTCCTTTTGTGCCAATCTCCCCCCTTTCTCCTTGCAGAGAATGACAGACAAGTGTTTCCGAAAATGTATTGGGAAACCTGGAAGTTCCCTGGATAACTCTGAGCAGGTGAGCGCTTGTAAAAACAGCACTGCGGTGTTGACCCGGTTGCTTTGTCTGCTGCTTTCTGCTGAGTGTGGTGTTCAACCCATTACATGCCCTCTGTCTGGCATGAGGCTTTTTTGCTTCCTAACTCTTTGCTGAAGGGCTTGCTTTCCATGCAGAAGGTCCCAGCTTCAATTCCTGACATCTTTAGTAAGGAATATCAGGGTAAAAGTGTTGGGAAAGGTCTTGTTTTCTGCCTAAGACCCTGGAGAACTCTGGCCAGTCAGAGGAGATGATATCTGGCTGGATGGACCAATGGCCTGACTTGGTAGAAGGCAGCTTTGAATGTTTATAGTTACTCCAATAGCAGAGGTTGAGGTTGGACAGAAGTGCCTCCCCTACCGCATATGGGCTCTCTCCGTGCCGCCCACCCTACCACATTCCTATATTTTGTGACCCGGCCTTCCTTCTCTTCACAGAAATGTATTGCTATGTGTATGGACCGGTACATGGACGCCTGGAACACCGTCTCACGAGCATACAACTCTCGATTGCAGAGGGAGCGAGCCAACATGTGAAGGGGTCATTGTGGGGCCGCAGAGCCCCCAGGACGGACTGATCACAGGGCTTCTATGCCCAGGGGGAAAGGGTGTCAGTCAGAAATCGGAACAGTGTGGTTAACCAGGATGGGAGTGGACAGGATACTGTGGATTCGAAGACGGGGCTCACCGTGTATGGCAAGAATTAAATGAAAGCTTGGTGTCGTCTTTTCTCCTCTTGTCTTTGCTTTCCCTGCCGGGTCATAAGAAGCACTGCTGCTCACCAGTGTCCAGGTTGCTGTGGGCCTCTGATAAAGAAACAGGGAGGGTGGCTACTTCTGGCAGCCAGAGAGTCCCTTGCGGCAAACCTGGTCAGCTCAGGACGCACTCTGGGGCAGCGAAGGAGGAAGGGCTGGGAGGTGAGAAATAATCCCTGATGATTCATATCCGCTCCTCCAGGCCTGCTTTCTGGGGTGCCCTGGTGCCCCTTACAAGAGGGTTGACCCTCTGGAGTTTCCAGATCGTCTTTTTAGGACCCAGGTGTGGTGAACCTGGACGCTCTAAGGAAGATTTAAAGCCTGTCTCCTCTGGGAGGGAGAGTAACTGTCCTTCCCTGCTCTATGCTGGTGGGACAGAACTTTGTCTGTGAGGCCTTGGAAGGGTTTTGCCACACTGGCAGTCCTCCACAAGTATGTAGCAAGGGCTATCCCATAAAAGGAACATCTGAGCACTGGCTGATGTGCAAATGCACCAGAACTCCCAAATGGCAGCAGTTAGAGTAAGATGAAAAATCAGTGTACCGTGGACCCGTTTCTCACTGAAGAAAAGGAGAGAAGAGATTGGGTGTATAGCCCACCCTTCACTACCCGAAGGAGTCTCAGAGCAGCTTACAAACTCCTTTCCCTTCCCCTCCCCACAACAGACACCCTGTGAGGTAGGTGGGGCTGAGAGAGCTCTTTTGAGGACTGCTCTTGAGGGAACAGCTCTGAAAGGACTTAGGACTGACCCAAGGTCACACCAGCAGCTGCATGTGGAGGAGTGGGGAATCAAACCTGGTTCTCTCCGATTAGAGTTTGCGCTTCTAAACACGACACCAAACTGGCCAGTGGGGCAGGATGTCTGGACATGTGAGACGGCGTGTACTTCCATACAGAAAATTCCCTCCACATAGAAACGAGCAGGAGACAGAGAAGGCGAAACATGCTAGTTTTCTATGCCAGAGCTTTTTTGGGGTACAGAACAGCATTCAGGGGTCAGATGCCTTCACGCGTGTGCTAAAATGGTACAGGTCAGGTGTGGGTTTGCCACCCCAAGGGACACTTTTTATCTATTTTTTTCCGAGTCAGGTTTCCAAACATGTTCTGGTGAGAAAAAGGGGTAAAAGAGGAACATGATGTGTGTCTGTGTTTTGAAAAGCCGCCTTTCCTAAAAACCATGAGTTCTGGAAGCTTGGACTTCTCTTTTAATGAAACACGAGGTTTGCAAGATGGCAAATTCCGCGGCGGCTGTTTCTCTTGCACAGCAAGACTGGCGCATAACCCCCACACACACACAAAACTCCACGGGCAGCAATTTAAGGTGTCTTCCTTAAATTGGTGAGCGATTTTTGCGGCCTAAAGGTGCCCTCTCTCCCACTGGCTCCCCAGGGTGGAGTTGTGGGGCCGGAGACCCTCTGCTGTGGGGGCAGGGCCAGCCACCTGCCCTGAGGAGCTGGAAGTGGCCCGGGCATGAGGTATAGCAAGAAGTAATATCAGCCAGTTAGGGGAACAATCTTTCCCTGACCCTCCCCAAGTCCGGGAAACCCCTCAGCAAGGGCCACTGGGTTAGGGCACAGGCCCCTCTACCCCGAGACAGCAGAGACCCAGGGAGACCTCGCCTGCCCCTGCCACCTCGCACGATGTCGAATTGAGACAGGAGGCCCTCTTTTATTGAGAGAAAGCGTTTTCTAAATCTGCTCCTTTGTTAAATGCTGGGGGGGGGGAGCTCTCTCCACAGCTTCTGGTCAGGCGCAAACGTCCCGTGCGGGGCAAAGCCCGCGGCTCCCGTGTGGGTTCGCTCCGTCCTATGATGTTGCCGTCTCTTCTCCCTGAGTGGCGCTGGGGCTCACACCTTGAGATGCTGCCCGATCCAACCCCGCACCGCCGTCACCCTGGTGTAAACGCCGGGGAAGAAAGGCCGTGCGCAGCCGTAGCCCCAGCTGGTGACGCCTGCCAGGAACCACCTCCCTGAAGGCTCTTTGCAGGCTAGGGGTCCACCTGCGTCGCCCTGCAAAACAGAGACGCCAGTTTAGAGAGCCCGACCAACTCCTTTGTGTTGACCGTGCGATGCAGCTGTGGTCCAGGTGAGCTGCTCTCTGAGCCAAATGACCAATCCAGAGAAGCCCAGTTAATTCGGGCCAGAACAAGCCAGCTGTAAGGGCTGTGCCTGCGGCGTTCGTTTGGTGCCTGACTGCGTTTTTAGGCGAAGGGAGATTGCCGGGGATCAGCAGCAGCTGGCGTTGGGAGCGCCACCCAGCCACGAAAGGAAGGCGAGGGTGCTGGCCGGACTCACCGAGCAGCTGTCGACCGTGCCCTGCAGGAAGCCGGCGCACACCATCCTCCCGCTGATCTGGATGGGGTAGAACTTCTTGCAGTCTTGCTCTCCGATCAGGTTCACGGCAGCCTTCTGCAAGTGCTTGGACATCAGACCTAGGCAGGAGGGGACAGGACAGTGTGAGCGGAACGGGCGCCATTGGCTTCATCAAACAGAAGCCTGTGTGCCAGAGCAGCTAACAAGGCAAGCCACAACCTCGGATGTCCCCAGTCAAAATATCACCTCCGTAACAAACTCAGCCTCAGCTTATCTGCCATAGTAGACGGAGGGAGAGGGAGCGGCTGGCCTACATTCAAGGGCTGTTTGCAAGGATCGTGAGAAGATAACGAACGCAAAGTGCTTTGAGAAGTGTTGTAGTGGGGTGGATCCAACCATCCTCCAAGGAGTCCTGACTCTTTAATTTTCATTTATTAATGTTATTCATAGTCCACCTTTCTCACTTGGACTCGAGGCGGATTACACAGGGTGAGTCAATACAATCGACAGATTCAGTAAACAATGCAACAGGATCAGGGTTGTGGAACCAACCAGAGGTCTAAAAACAGAACTGAAGCAAGACTTAAGTATTAACATGATACATTAAAATGATGCAAAATTCCATAGTAGGATCCTAGTTTCGGCAAGCTAGACGCAGAAGCACAGACCACAGTCCCTAATAATTTTTCCAAGTAACTTTGTGAATCATTTGGCACAATAGAAAAGAGCAAGAGTCCAGTAGCACCTTAGAGACTAACAACATATGTGGCTGGGTATGAGCTTCTGTGACTCACGAATCCTCTTACCCTGCCACGAATTTTGTTAGTCTTTAAGGTGCTACTGGACTCTTGCACTTTTCAACTGCTACAGACAGACTATCGCGGCTGCCTAGGCTGATCTATGATCTATTTAGTACGATGCAACTCCAATGCCTGCATAGAAAAGCCCTGTTGAATATTTCAGTTCTAGCTAGTGGGGGCCTCCCAGACCTCCTTATGCAGGCCGTTCTATACGGTGGGGGCCACAGCAATGAAGACCCATGAATCGGCAGTTGTTGATTTTGCCCATTTCCAGGTTGACGCCTGCGGAAGCCCCTGCAGATATGACTGAAACTGTCGTGGCAGAGCATGGGGGAGAGGCGGTCTTGCAGATAGGAGGGTCTTAACGTAAGTGGTTCTTCCTCCAACAGAAGATCCCCATAAATTGGAGAAAGACTCCTTAGGCTGAAGGAAGGCCTGGAGATCTAGCCTTCATAAAATACTGTTACTAGACAGTGTGGATTTCTGCAAAAGCCTCGTGAATGTTTCCCCAACCCCAGAACACTTGACTGCCTGTTCTTCCCAAGTTGCCTTTTTGCATGTAAGTAAATCCCTTAATCTGGGATGCCTCAAAAGAGTCTTGCGTGGTGGTTTGTTTTTAGCATTGCCTTCGTGTAAAATAAGGAGCTGCGGTGGCTCAAGTGGTTAAGACGCTGAACTGCAGGCTGTGGAAGGCCGGTAGTTCAGCAGTTCGAGCCCCGAGTGTGCCGCATGACGGAGTGAGCTCCCGTCTCTAGTTCCAGCTCCTGCCAACCTAGCAGTTCGAAAGCAAGAAATTGCAAGTAGATAAATAGGTACCACTTCGGTGGGAAGGTAATAGCGTTCCGTGCGCCTTGGTGTTTAGTCATGCCGGCCACATGACCACGGAAACGTCTTCGGACAGCGCTGGCTCTTCAGCTTTGAAACTGAGATGAGCACCGCAACCCTAGAGTCGGACTCGACTGGCTTTCGAGCAAGGGAACCTTTACCTTTTACCTTGTGTGAAATATAGCAACCATGTATTTGTCTGTCTGCTTCTGAATTTGCAGTCGGGACACTGAAGTTGTTCTTGAGGGGCCCCCCCGATCCTTACCTCCCTCCTTAGTGGAGCCCCAGCCGGTGATGAAGCACCGCACCCCTTCGCTGAAGACGTGGGAGCTGTCCGGTATGCAGATGGGCCTGATGGTGCTGGTGTAGCGCAGGGGGAAAGCCAGCTCCAGGAGGGCCACGTCGTAGTCCAGCGTGTAGACGTTGTAAAATGGGTGCCTGTGGATGTGGAAGATTCTCTCCACTCTCCCATCCAGGCCACTGAGGAACGGTGTCCCCAGGATGGCAACCCACATCTTGGGGTCACTGTAACTGTAAGAGAGCGCCTGAGTTAGCACAGAAAGTGCTGGAGCCAGACCAGCCAGATGGTGCTGTCTGCCTCCGGGGGAGTCTAGAGGAAGTTTAACTCTCGGCCTGGCTGCAAGCCTGACTCTGGATTAAGGCCGCTTATCCGTGAAAAATTGCCCTAAGTGCTTCTTTTGTTTCTCAAGTCATAGTATGTTCTACTACGTTCAGAGGGGTGTTACCCTGTTGCAGCAAAAGGAGGGGTCTTGTGACACCTTGAAGACTAACAAAATTTTATTCTGGCTACAATAAAAAATGTTGGTCTTTAAAACGCCACGGGCATCCAAGATATACGGTGTCTCTATCTCCCTGTTCTTTGAAGCGGAATGTTCCTTAAAGCAGCGCGCCAGTTTGGTGTAGTGGTTAAGTGCGCGGACTCTAATCTGGGAGAACCGGGTTTGATTCCCCACTCCTCCACTTGCACCTGGCTGGATGACCTTGGGTCAGTCACAAGCTCTGGCGCAGCTGTCCTTGAAAAAGGGCAGTTTCTGTCAGAGTTGTCTCAGTCCCACCCACCTCACAGGGTGTCTGTTGTGGGGAGGGGAAGGGAAAGGAGTTTGTAAACCGCTCAGACTCCCAAGTGAAGGGCGGGGTATAAATCCAATCTCTTCTTCTTCTTCTAAACCAAGGCAACAGTGCCACCTGATGGTAATTGCAGGAACAACAAGCCTACATCCCATGTAAAAATACCAGATTTTTCCGAGGAACAAGCTCATGCAGTTCATGACCGCAAAGGGCAGCCCGCAGTTATCAGCACCCCACCCCACCCAGCCAAGGCCCAACTCACATGTCGAAGCAATGAGCAGCCGACAGCAGCCACCGCTCGCCGATCACGACTGCCCCGCACTTGTGCTCCTTCCTCCGCAGCCACAGGCTCACCTGCCACGGCCACTCCCCACGGGCCGCTCCGCTGCCCCCCACGATCTTGCCAAAGGCCACCGTGGGGATCAAGCCGCAAGCTGCAAGGAAGAGAATGTGGCAGGAGCACTGCGCTGTACAGGATCTATACAGAGGATGGGGGGGGGGGACGGGACAGGACTGGATCCAGCTTTTCACTGGTTCTGGCTTTTATGGCCAGCTGGCCATGCTTGCAACCCCTATCCCATTACCCGATTCCATCCCTGTAGAACAGAACAGAACAGAAAGCCAGTGCAGTGTAGTGGTCAAGAGTGCTGGACTGCTATCCGGGAGTACCTGGCTCTGAATCCCTACTTGTGCCGTGGAAGCTCGCTGGATGACCTTGGGCCAGTCACTCTCTTTTGTCCTAACCTACCTCATAGGGCTGGTTGGGAGGATAACACGGGAGGAGAGGAGAATGATGTGAGCTGCTTTGGGTTCCCCACTGGGGAAATAAATAACCATCGTATGGCATTGTGTTTGGAATTGCCAGGAGATCCTAGAAGCGATTGTTGGGCCACCAAAGCTGTAGCTCTTTTTTTGGCACCACTAGGTGGCGAGCTATGCTTATTTTTAGGCTGAGAGTGCTGTGACTTGCCGAAGGTCACCCAGCTAGCTTCAAGCGGGGAAGTGGGGAATCGAACCCAGTTCTTCAGATTAGAGTCCACTGCTCTTAACTACTACATCAAACTCAGAAGGAGGGGATAAATGAATTAAATAAATAGAAGAAGCACCTTGAAGGGCACAGTTGGGGGGGGGCAGTTTCTGATCACAGTTTTTATGTACATACTTGTATTGGATTGCTGCAGTGTGGAAAAATAAGGGCCTGGCTGGATCAGACCGAGGTAGGGCCCCGTCTACCCACCTCCAGCATCCTATTTCCAGCAGTACCCTCTCGGGAAGCTTATCAGCAGGCTATGAAAGCAACAGCCCTTCCCTGCTGTTAGGTCAATCGCCTCTGAACATGGAGGTTCCATTGAGCTACCGTGGTTAAGGCTATTAAAAATCGCTTGTCCACGAATGTGTCCACTCCTAGAGAGAGGGCGTTAGCGGTGGGGCTTTTCCCCTGGCACAATGAGCCTTCCCGGATTCAAAAGGGTCTTCCTTGCATCGGGGCAAGGCTTCTTGCAATGCAGAAAGGCATCCCCGCTGGCAGAACCAGGCCTGCAGGGACCAACCCGTGGCTGGGGTAGCATTCGATGGCTTCGTTAAAGAGCCAGACTCCTACAGCTTGGGGTTGCACAAGGACTGCTGCCCTGACCTGCCTGGGCCAGGCTAGCCCGATGTTATCAGCTCCGGGAAGTTGGCACCCCTGGCCAGTATTTGGTATGGGAGACCTCCAAGGAATACCAGGGTCATGATGCAGAGGCAGGCAATGGCCAAGCACCTCTGAACACCTCTTGCCTTGAAAACCCTCCAGGGTCGCCGTAAGTCAGCTGTGACAGAATTTTCCTCCTCCGCCGCCACCACCACCACCACCACACAAGGGCTGTTGGTTAGACTACAGCCTCTAGGAATCGATCTGGGGCTGGAGAAAAAGAAGCCAGTGGGAAGGACAGGGTAGCAGTGTCAGAGGACTTACTGCAGTTCCATTCATCTCGGCCGTTGCTGCAGTCCACAATGTCGTCACACTCTGGGTTCAGTTTCCCAATGCAGACTTTGCTGGAGCACTTGAAAGTGGTCAGCGTGCACGGTACAACTGGGGGAGCAGTTTGCAAACCGGGTTAACGCACGCAGAGAATTGTTACCCTCCTCTCACCAAGGAACTAGATTTGTAAACTTCTGTTCACAGCTGATTATTGTGGCCAATTGGGTTATAAAGCAGGTCTGACCTTCCCACATGTGACGGAGCCCGGGGGGGGGGGATGTCCTCCTTCCCTAACTTAAGGTTTGGACTAGAGTGGATTTAAGCCACAGCAAAATGCCCTCTGGGAAGTGTCAAGCTTCCTCATGCTCACTGAGGTCATGAAAGGGCTTTTTTCCAGAACTGCAGCTCAGCTCTTGTCTCTGCAGGGCAGCTGCTCTCTGCATGTGGTGCTCTGCAGGGCAGCTGCTCTCTGCATGTAGCGTTCTGGATTGTCTTGTTTGGGGGAGGTGAAGGGTGTGAGATCCTGCCTGATAGCAGATGATGCATTTCCAGATTCATTCTTCACCCCAAGTGGGCAAATCCCTGTATTAGGGAGGGCAAGATCTGGACCAGAGGCACACAGCCCACCCATGCAAATTCACCCATGTGGGACTGATGTGTCCCTCAGAGTCTTTGCTTATCCCCACATGTACCTGGGAACTGGATGATCTTCGGCGTGCTCGCTAGTGGTGTAGATACGGTGCCAGCACTGGTGCTTGGATCGGGGGTTGTCTGGCTAGTCGTCTGGGTAGTGCCGGGTGAGCTGGAGGTGGTGCCAGCCGTGGTCTTGGAGGTGGACGTGAGGGTGGTGCTGGGGCGGGGCGAGATGGTGTCCAGGATCCAGCCTTTGAGCTTGGTGATCCGGGTGTACACCCCTGGCTTCCTGGGCTGTGCGCAGCCGGCCCCCCAGCTCACCAGCCCTGCCAAGTAGAACACACCAGGCGTCTCCTCGCATGTCAGGGGTCCGCCAGAGTCACCCTGGAGAGAAGGAAGCATTCAGGAAGGGCGCTCGGAGCCGTTTCCAGGGGTACCTCTGGCATTCACCCGCTGGGAATTCCCCACCCTCACTAGGCTGATGGGACGTGAAGCCAGAATCAGTGTTGGACTTCCTAAGTATCCCTTAAGACAGGGATGCTAGGAGCTCTCTGATATCACACAAAGCACTTCAGTGCCCCTTATTGTATTTCGGTTAACTGCAATGCATTGCAAATTAACCTCCCAGGGTATTTTTCTACATATTCCATTACAGGCACAGGGGGAGGGGGAAGGCACCTTATCCATGAGTGTTTAATGGGTCTTTAAAGGTGGGTACTCAGGTACTGGAGAGGAGAGGAGAGCCAAAACAAAGCATCCCCTTTGTTTTATTTATTTATTTATTTAAACTTATATCCTGCCCTCCCCGGAGGCTCAGGGCGGTTAACAGGGGCATACGCCCAATAATAACAATAAAACCAGTATAAAATACACAGTAATACAGAAACAGTTAAATAATTAACTAAATTCATAAAACAGTTCGGTGCTTCCCTACTCAATTCCAAATTTTTACAATCAAGATGGTTGGATTAGAACTGTAGTGTCATGGAACAGCTCAGGAGGTCAGTTTTACACAAGAACAGGACTGCCGCCTACTGCAGTGCTAAATGTACGCATCCCTTTGCTTCTGCCTTTGTAACCTGCTTTCTGCATTAATGCCACGCCTTAAGATGGTTTTTATTGCCTCGGAGGGGTTTTTTTGTTTGCCTTGTTTCCCAATTCTGCAATCCTCATCCTGCTGTGTTGCTTATTGGAGGCCTTTGCTGTTTGTCTGAACTGCTTTTTTAATATTTTGTGATCCACCTTGATCTTGACCTGGATAGCCCAAGCTATCCCGATCTTGTCAGATCTCAGAAACTGAGCAGGATCGGCCCTGGCTAGTATTTGGAAGGGAGACCGCCATGAAATACCAGGCAGGCAATGGCAAACCACCTCTGAACGCCTCTTGCCTTGAAAACCCTCTGGGGTCGTCATAAGTCAGCTATGACTTAATGGCCAAAAAAAAAATCCACCTTGGGTCTTAGCGAGGAAGGCAGAGTGTAGATGAAGTCAATATATATTTTTTAAAAAGCCACATCCTTTTGCCCAGTGGTTGTGGCTTTACACTCCACCCCCACCCCTGAAGAGAGCTCCCAATGATTCTGGAAAGGGTGGAACTGCGCCTTACCTGGCAGGAATCCACCCTCCCCTCCAGGAACCCGGCACAGATCATCCGTTCGGTGAGGGAGAAGTTGTACAGGACGCTGCAGGTCTTCTGATCGATGATGTTGATGGAGGCTCTCTGCAGGTGCTCGGGCTTGGTGGCTGCAGGCCACAGAGGGAGGGCAAAATGCAGGCACCTGCAGGGGAAAAGGGGGCACCCGCGCCGCCCCGCGCCACCCCAGCCATTTCCTCTTCCAAAGACACAAACCCTGTCTATGTTTTGATGGATTTTCAAAGCCTGAATTCCAATGGGCTTTAGAGAAATAAACTTCCACAAAATGAACCAGGCAAGACTTAAATTTGATCCTCGACAGAACATAAATCTTCCTATTCCTATGTTCCTTCTTTCCGAAATCCATTTCCTTGCATCGGGACTAACGTCAACATTTAAGCAAGGAGGAAAACAAGTACAGTGCAGGCAGGTTAATACGGATATGAATAACATTCATGTTTCAATGATATTGTTCATTAATAAAATACACTTCATTTTGTAAGAAATTTAAATCGAAGGGATCAGATCTGGCCCAGCTGTTCTGAGGGGCATGGACTTCTGTCCATCTTCTTGGCGATGCTCTCTTGTGACAGCCCCAAATGCCCCTGAAAGTTATGTTTCTGGGGGAGGGGGGACCCCAGGAAGAGGGTTGCCAGGTCCTGCCTCATTCCCCGTGGGGGGGGGGGGATCTCTTGGCCTTCCCAGGGTCTTCTGCCCAAAAGTAACATCATCACGCCGCCGACATCATCCAGTTTTGGGGCAAAACTCTATGGTTTGAGCCCAAGTTCACCATAGAGTTTTGCCCCAAAACTAGAGCGTCGCACATGACACTGGTGGTGTGACGTCACTTCTGGGTGACATCATCACGCTGTGTTTTGGGGCATTTTGGGGCAGGGTTTCCCCCCACCAGACAGCTGGCTGCTGGCGGGGAGGAGCCTGAAAAAGCAGGAGAATCCCCGCCCAGACTGGGGGGGCTAGCGATGCTACACATGAACAGGATGGGGGCGAACTTTGGGCTGACGTGGGAAGGGGGAATCAGAGACAGTCGGACTACGCGGATGCCTGTGGAAGCACTGCACTGGATCCAAGCCAAAATCCCTAATTAGGGCTCTTTTTGTAGCAGGTACTCATTTGCATATTAAGCGACACACCCCTAATGTAGCCAATCCTCCAAGAGTTTACAGTAGCTCCTGTAAGAAGAGCTCTGTAAGCTCTTGGAGGATTGGCTACATTAGGGGGTGTGGCCTAGTATGCAAAGGAGTTCCTGCTACAAAAAGAGCCCTTATTCCTGGTGCCCTTCAGACTCACCACCCAGAGTGCTGGAAGGCTCTAACTGAGCGACTGGGTACCATCACACCTCTTTATCTCTCCACAAGAGGACTGGAGACTTGAGCAAACCCAGCAGGGAATGTCCTTCAGGGGACCCAGTCTCCCACCCACGGCAACGGCTCCGGCCCACCCCCGCTCGGATGGCTCCACTGGGGACCTGGCAGGGTAAGCAGCCTTCACCTACTGTTGCCTTCACGGACGCTGCCCCAGCCGGAGATGGAGCACCTCTTGCCCACAGGAAACTTGTGGATGGCGAGCGGGAGGCAGACGGGCTGGACGTATTTGCCGAAGAGGAGGGGCCTGGCCAGCTCCAGGACGGCCACGTCGAAGTCCAGCAGCAGAGGGTTGTAGGACGGGTGCAGCACCACCCGCCTGACGCTGACCTTCACGGAGCTGCTCTCCGCCGCCGACAGCAGCGTGGCGCCTGCGTAGGCGGTGATGTACTCTGGCTTGGTGCTACCAGCACGTGGACATGAAAACCACAAGGACACATTTTCCATTAGTGGGAACGAGGCCGTGCAGAGGCAGCACTCGCACAGGTCGCGCCCCCCCCCCCAAGTGTCTCCAGCTTCGGGTGTGACACGGGAGGCGGAAATCCACACAGACACCACCCTCTCCTCCACTTTGCGCTCTGGTGCTTCAGCCCGCGTGCAGAAGCTTTGGAGGAGGAGGAGGGCTTCTCCCTAGAGGATGGGGCTGCATTCTGGAGGCATGTGGGATCCCCCCCCCAGCCCCACAAACAAGGGCTGTTCCCCAGCAACTCGGCAGATGCTGCCGGTGAACACATGAAGCTGCCCTATACTAAGCTGGACACCTGGTCTATCAAGGTCAGTATTGCCCACTCTGACTGGCAGCAGCTCTCCAGGCAAAGGTCTTTCTCATCACCTACTGCCTGGTTCTTTTAACTAGAGACGGGACGGATTGAGCCTGGGGCCTTCTGCCTGCCGAGCAGATGCTCTGCCGCTGAGCCACGGCCACCCACCGTGACTCCAACAGGCGGTACTTACTGATTAAAGCAGTGTGCGGCCGAGAGCAGCCAGCGGTCCCCGACGATGGTGGCCCCACAGAAGTGCCGCAGCCCCTCCTTCAGGCTGACCTGCCAAGGCACTTCCCCCCGGGATGCGTCCAGTCCGCCCACAATTTTGACGGGCTTGGAGAAGGCTGGTCTCCGGCCGCACTCTGCACAGCGACAAAGCCCACATCAGGCCAGACCCCTGAGAGAGGCCATCTAGGACTTGATTGATACGGGGGCTCATACCTGGGGGGCGGGGCGCCGTCACCGGCCTGCTCGTGGCAGTGGACGCTGGGGCCGTGCTGGGGCCGTGCTCACTGACGGTACTTGACCCCTCTGAAAGGGAAGCGTTGTCCAGCAGTGTGGAAACTGTGGTCGGGATGGTCGTCGGAGGCGTGAACGTGGCAATGGTGTGAAGGATCCAGTCCCGGAGCTTGGTTACCCGGGCGTAGACCCCTGGGCGGTTGGCCTCCGCGCAGCCGATCCCCCAGCTCACGATGCCCGCTAGGAAGAAGCGTCCGGAGGGCTCTTTGCAGACCAGCGGCCCCCCAGAATCCCCCTACAAAAGAGCAGGGGAAGAGGAGGATCTCCGGAGCCATTTTCATTCACGGGGAGCTTCACAGAGGGCATCCTCAGCTCCCTGTGAGTGGGAGGAAGAGCCCGCCAGATCCCAGGAATACCTGGCAGGAGTCAATTTTCCCCTCCAGGTAGCCGGCACAAAGCATCCTGTCCGTGAGAGCGTTGGTGTACAGACTGGCACAGAGGGTCTGGTCCAGAAGCTCCACTGTGGCCTTCTGGAGGAGCTCTGGCTTCACCACTGTGGGGGGGAGAGAAAATGACCGACAGGCGTCAGACCGCACTAATATCCCCACCACCAGCAAGGCTGGCCAGCGGCTCACTCTCAGCCAGTGCACACTTTGAGCCACTCTTGGTGGTCATCAAAGGACTGGCGGTGAAGCTCGCACGAGAGCACAGGCACTGTGATGAGTGGGCTATAATCTGCAGTGGGACTGTTAGCTGCAAATGGCAGACTCTCCAGGGCGAATTAAGGCAGTGGAGACAGGTATGGGTCATGTGTTGCGGAGTTCCCAGGTCAGCATGTCAAAACAAGGACATTCTCTATTGGGGTAATAGAAAAGAGCAAGAGTCCAGTAGCACCTTACTGTGTGGCAGGGTAGGAGGTTTCGTGAGTCACTGCTCACTTATTCAGATACTACAGATACCTGAAGAAGCCTCCCGAAAGCTCCTACCCTGCCACAAATTTTGTCAGTCTTTAAGGTGCTACTGAACTCTTGCTCTTTCCTACTGCTAAAGGTAAAGGTAAAGGTTCCCTTGCTCGAAAGCCAGTCGAATCCGACTCTAGGGTTGCGGTGCTCATCTCCGTTTCAAAGCCAAAGAGCCAGCGCTGTCCGAAGACGTTTCCGTGGTCATGTGGCCGGCATGACTAAACACCAAGGCGCGCGGAACGCTGTTACCTTCCCACCGAAGTGGTACCTATTTATCTACTTGCAATTTCTTGCTTTCGAACTGCTAGGTTGGCAGGAGCTGGAACTGGAGACCGGAGCTCACTCCATCATGCGGCACACTCGGGTCTCGAACTGCTGAACTACCGACCTTCCACAGCCTGCAGTTCAGCGTCTTAACCACATGAGCCACCGCAGCTCCCAAGTCTCCCTTTACTTCCCCGCATTTAGAAGAGGTTGCTTCTGAGATTAAATTGACTTAATTCTTGAAAAGCTGTGTCTCATAGCTTTCCATTATAGTCAGCGATCACAATTCAGCACAGATCGTTTCAGGAGGGCCGGTGTGTCGGTCTGCAATAGAAGGGTTACACTGGAGTCCAGTGGCACCTTACGGACCAACCAGGGGTTCAGAGCATAAGCTTTCAAGGGTCAAAGCTCCCTCTGTTAGAGAAGTTAAACCTGCTGTGCCCTGTGCTGGTGACCAGTGTTCCCTCTAAGCTGAGTTAGTGTGAGCTAGCTCACAGTTTTTTAGCCCCCAGCTCACACATTCTTGCTTTAGCTCAGGAAGGATGGCTCCAGAGCAAACTAATTTATACAGTAGCCAAATTGCTCACTCATAGCTTTAATGCCAGTAGCTCACAACGTAGAATTTTTGCTCACAAGCCTCCACAGCTTAGAGGGAACATTGATTGTGACCCTGATCCCGTCAGATCTCAGTAGCTAAGCAGGGTCAGCCTGGGCTAGCAACCTCCAAGGAATACCAGGGCTACAACGCAGAGGCAGGAAGTGGCAAACCACCTCTGGAATGCCTTCAAAACAAGCCTAGCTCGCCAACTGGTGGTGCATAACGCTAAAAGAGCTAGACCTTCTGGCTGCCAGACAATCTTAGGATCTCCTGGCTATACTACACACAATAATAGTCATTCAGACTATGTGCTTCTTGCTTACACCCACCCTGAGAGGTAGGCTGGGCTGAGAGGCTGAGCTTCCCAGAGAGGATTTGCCCCATAGACCTCCCCCTTCCGAGCCTTCGGCCAGCCCCTGTCCACTTGGCTCACCAAGCAGGCCAAGGGTTTTGCTTACAAAAGTCCTCCTTGAGGTAACCCCACCCTGAGATGAGGCACTTTCTGCCCGGGGGGAAGACGTGGCTGGCGGCCGGGAGGCACACGGGCTGGACGTATTTGGTGAAGACCAGCGGGTCAGCCAGATGGAGCAGGGCCACGTCATAGTCGGCCGTGTCGGTGTTGTAGGACGGGTGCTTCACGATGTGGCCCACGCCGGCCTTGGCAAAGCTGCTGCCGGTGTTACTCAGCCAGATAGTGCCCACGTAGGCTGTCCAGGAGCTGGGGTCATGAAGCCTAGGAGAGAGAACGGCTGCGGGTCACGCCACCTGTCCAGCGACAAGGCCCGGTGCGGCCAAAAAAAACCCCAGCTGGGAACGGCTTGCCAGAAGGGAAGAGCAAAACGAAAGATCTGTACGTTGTGAACTTTAACCCATGTCTCTGGAAACCAATTGTTGGAGGTCAAAACCCTTTTCAGACATTATGCCTACGTGTACGGGGAGACCGGCAACCACATGTATCGGGAGATCCTGGTACACACAGTCACCCCATTGTCTGAATGGGGCACGGTACACATTTTGCAAGCATGTACACATGAATCAGCCATGAGATTTTCCAGGGCTCTTACTAGGGCTGCCAATCTCCAGGTGTCACCTGGAGATCTCCTGCTATGACAGATGATCAAGATCAGTTCCCCTGGAGAAAAATGGCTGCTTTGGAGGGTGGACTCTGTGGCCATTATACTCTGCTGAGGTCCTTCTCCAGGGTCCACCCCCAAAATCTCCAGCTATTTCCCATCCCAAAGCTGGCAACTCTAGTTCTTACCAAAGCTCTGTACGCGCGCAGAATACATGCGGTGCCCCTATTCAGACAGCGTGGGAGCTGTGTGTATCGGCGGTGGTGTGCTCCCGCGGTGCACATTTGCCAGCCTCCCAGTAGGCACGAGGATAATATCGGAAAGAGGCTGTAATCAGATAATCACAGTTGGATGGAAAACTTGGCAGTGGTTTCATTTGCGATAATTGCTCTGTCTTGCGAAAGCCTAATACATATTTATTAGCATGCATTTGTCATAATTTTTCTCCTTGCCAAATCATTTGGCGTCCGCTGCAAACCTGACCGCTTCACTGCTCACCCCCAACTTCCGAACAAATTAAACAGCACCCATCTATCAAGGATGGCACTGTCTGCTCTGACCGGCAGCGGTTGTCCAGGGGCTCAGACAGGTAAAGGCCTTTCCTGATACCTTTTAACAGGGCTGTTCTATGTGGTGTTACTCCAGCCTGCCCATTGGTTTCACCAGTCTTAGAACGGAGTGTGTCTGCATAGGACAGCACTGTAAATCTTGGAGACTGAACCTGGTGCCTTAACCACTACACCAGAGAGCCAGTTTGGTGTAGCGGTTAAGAGCGCGGACTCTAACCTGGGAGAACCGGGTTTGATCCCCCACGCCTCCACATGCAGCTGCTGGTGTGACCTTGGGTCAGTCACAAGTTCTCTCAGAGCTGTTCTCTCAAGGGCAGTTCTCGAGAGAGCTCTCTCAGCCCCACCTACCTCACAGGGGTGAGGGGAAGGGAAAGGGACTGTAAGCCGCTCTGAGACCTCTTCAGGTAGGGAAGGGCGGGGTATAAATCTAGTCTCCTCTTCTCTTCTTCTCCAGAGGGAGAGAACCAAGTATTGAGTGTGGGACATCCAGTCTCGTGCACCGAGAAGGACATGGCCCCCAGGCTTACTCATTAAAGCAGTGAGCTGCAGACACCAGCCACCTCGCCGTCAGAATGGTCGCCCCGCAGAAGTGTTCGCCATTCTCCCGCAGGCTGACCTGCCAGGGGAACTCCCCCCGCAAGGCCTCCGAGCCCCCAACAATCCGGTTTGCCGTCTGCAGGGCGGGCCTAATGCCACAGACAGAAAGAGAGACATGGGGGGGGGGGGGGAAAGAGAGGATTAAAGGCGTGCTGTGCTGGGACTGCCCCAGGAGGACAAGGACCGTGCCTTCGGGACCCGCTTGCCATCTACCCAAACACTCAGAGCCAACATTTTTTCTCTTTCTGAAGGTCTCAAAGGCACCAGCTGCAAGCTCGGAAATCCCCAAGACTCCCAACTTTGATGTACGACTTTTGCCACCTTGTGGCTGGGGGGGGACTAATCTTGCTGAAGTATGAGAATATGCAGAAAGCAGCACAGGACTAAATTGTACAAAAGTAACTCCGAATTTAGATCAGGAGATTCCTGCCATTGGTAATGACGTCTGTGATAGAACAAGGATAATTTTTCTGAGATCCCCCCCCCCCACCGGTCCCCAATACATACTGGTTTCAGTTACCAGTTCGGTGTAGTGGTTAAGAGCGTGGACTCTAATCTGGGAGAACCGGGTTTGATTCCCCGTGCCTCCGCATGCAGCTGCTGGTGTGACCTTGGGTCAGTCACAAGTTCTTTCAGAGCTGTTCTCTCAAGAGCAGCCCTCGAAAGAGCACTCTCAGCCCCACCTACCTCACAGGGTGTCTGTTGTGGGGAGGGGAAGGGAAAGGAGTTTGCAAGCCGCCCTGAGACTCCTTCGGGCAGTGAAAGGCGGGGTATAAATCTAATCTCCTCCTCCTCCTCCTCCCTCTTCTATACTTTTTATTTTTTGGTGAGTATTTTGTGTGTGTGTCTGTATATGTGTGTATGCCTGGAAGTCATGGTTGTCTTCTGGCGACCCCTAGTGGGGCTTGGACATTTCAGAGAGGTGGTTTGCTATTGCCTGCCTCTGCGTCCCGGCCCTGGTACTCTTTGGAGGTCTCCTTTCCAAGTACTTGCCAGGGTCGGCCCTGCTTAGCCTCCGAGATCTGACGAGATCGGGCTTCCTCGGGCTATCCAGGTCAGGGCTTCTCAGGACCTGCACACTGCTTGCTCTTCAGCAGTCAAATGGAACCGATGCAGAGTCTGACCACCTAGCTCGCTAGTATTCTCTTCTTGGTCTCTGGAGTCTCCAGCACAAAGAGGCCTTTTCCAGCCTGGCTTCCTAAGACCATCTAACTGGAGATGGTAGGGGGTCAACCTGGGGACCCTCCTGCATGCAAAGCTGGGGCCCCACCACTGAGCCGCAGCCCCTCCCTTTACTTCCTCTTACCCCTGGACACCTGTTATGTGATAAGGCACAAAACAACAAACACATCTACACCCCCGGGCTTCTCATCAGCCTAAGTTCCGAAACCCCGGCTGCCCCACAAAAAGAACGCACCGCACTCAGCCTCATCGGAGCCGTCCATGCAGTCCCGGTGGTAGTCGCATTCCACGTTCTCCACGGCCACGCACTGGCCATCGTGGCAGGCGAAGGCATTCCCCAGACAGCTGCCTGCAAGTACAGCAGTGACAAAAATGACCCACAAAGCTTTTTGCCTCTACAGACCAGAATCCCGACTGTACATTACATTACAGCCGGAGGGGAACAATGGTTAGAGTGTTGGACTAAGATCTGGGGGACTCGGGTTCGAATTCCCACTCTGCTCTGGAAGCTGTCAGCAAGCTGCCATAAGGTGGTGTGTTCTTTTCTACATGTTACATTGTGCTCTGTCCATCCCCCCCTGTATCATCCTGTGTAGGTGTTTACTGTCTTTTGCTTGCCACATCCGCGGAACTGCACAAGGTCAACCAGCTGGAGGTGGGATGGAGTTATGGCGTTGCTTTGCTTATTATGTATCTCATGCCTGAGAACTGATCTTGTGTTTATGTTGTAGAGCCGTTGTGTTCCCAAGGAATTGGGCACTAGTTTTATCTGCCTTCCCGCCAGCGGGAATTGGACTCATTGATCCTAACCTGGTTCAAGTTTCTTTATTATGTTTCCCTATGGGGTCTGTAGTCATTCCTAACAATTCTTGTGTTCCTGATCTAACCATCGCTTTATAATAAATTTAACTTTGTTCTTCAAACGTGGATTTATTTCGAATGCATGGGGAATCGGACAGAAGCTTGCCAGGTGGCCTTGGGCCAGTCGCACACTCCCAGCCTAACCTACCTCACAAGGTTGTTGTGAAACTCAAAATGGAGGAGAGGAGAATGATGCAAGCTGCTTTGGCTCGCCGATTGGAGAGAAAGGTGGGGTGTAAATGAAGGAAAGTATCATCCCATCCTCCCTGGGCTTTCCAGGAGGACTTTTGATCAGACGTTTTGTGAGTTCCATGTTTCCTAGATGCATGGGCCCCCCGTTGAGATCAGGACCCTGGCATTTGAGGAAAGGGGGCTTCAGCTGCATCCCCTTCCCAGACACTGTTTCCCTGACGTGAAAGAACTCCAGGGCACTACCATTTGCCCTGTTGGAGAAAAGCTAAGACCAGTACATGCAAGTATCCCCGATATGGTAAGTAGCAGCTCCGAGGAGACTTTTTAGGTTGGGGGGAAAGCATGGGGAAGTGAGAAAGATGAAGTCCCCTCTCCTCATACACCATGGTCCTGATCCCAGTCAGACTCTGCGGGCCCGGAGAGCCAGTTTGGGGTAGTGGTTAAGAGCGGTGGACTGTAATCTGGAGAACTGGATTCAATTGCCCAATTCTCCACTTGAAACTAACTGGACAACCTTAGGCAAACCACAGCACTCTCCACCTAAAAATAAGCACAGCTTGCCAACTAGTGGTGCCAAAAAAGAGCTACAGCTTCACCAGCCAAACTATCCTCCCGGGGAATCTCCTGCCAATTCCACACACAATGCCATAAGATAATTTCAATTTTTCCTGTGTGCCTGGGAATTGAGTTCCAAGTATGGAACTTGGAAAGCACTTCTGAATTAAAGTCCTCTTGGCGGGCTCAGGGAAGACATGAAGAAGAAGAGGAAGAGGAGGAGGAGGAGGAGGAGATTGGATTTATACCTCGCCCTTCACTTGGAGTCTCAGAGCGGCTTACACACTCCTTTCTCTTCCCTTCCCCACAACAGACACCCTGTGAGCAATGTTCCCTCTAAGCTGCGGAGTCTGGTGAGCAAAAATCCTACTTTGTGAGCTACTGGCATTAAAATTGTGAGCGAGCGATTTGGCTACTGCCTAAATTAGTTTGCTCTGGAGCCATCCTTCCTGAGCTGAGACAAAAATGTGTGAGCCGGAGGCTAAGAAACTGTGAGCTAGCTTACACTAACTCAGCTTAGAGGGAACGCTACCTGTGAGGTGGGTGGGGGTGAGAGAGCTGTGACACAAACTGGTCTTTCAGGAACAGCTGTGCCAGAGCTTGTGACTGACCCAAGGTCACATCAGCAGGTGCAAATGGAGGAGTGGGGAAATCAAACCAGGTTCTCCCAGATTAGAGTCCGCACACTTAACCACTACACCAAACTTGCTCCCACATAGCTGGGTCCAAAGTGTTTGAGGTTGGTGTTTCCATTTTAAGAGATTATTTATTAGGTGTTTTTAAATCATGTTTAGTGGAGGGCTGCATCCTGTTAGTCTTGGTTGCAACGGAAACAACTAAGGTTCTTGTGGTACTTTAAAGACCAACGGAGCCTGGTCCACAAAAGCTTGTGCACTGATAAATCTGTTGCTCTTTAAGGCGCCATAAAATTCAGGACAGCAAAAAACCGGACAATTTGGGTTGGCCGGGGAAAAGAATTTGGCGATGTCTAAAAAGCCACAATCCACGAGCTGTTAGTGAAATGATGCATACCTGATTTTAGGACAATCTCAGCTGGAGAGACACTGCGTGGCCCTGTAGGAGACAAAGAGGAGGGCAGGTATGAGATCCCCAACACAGAACCTGGCTTCCTCTCGGTCCAGCCCCAAGTCCAGAGGCAGAAAACTCCAGAAGCTCACCAGGTGCTGAGTGAAGACTCTAGGCTATCCCAAGATATTTTTGCTCTTCAAATCTGCTCAAATCTGTACTCACTATGTGGCCTCAGCCAAACTATGCTCACCCCCAGCTTCCAGCCTAATCTACAGGCTGATGTAAGGACCACAGCAGAATAATGTCTGTGTAGCATTTTGAAACACTCAGAAGTGCTACACAAAGGCTAAGTATCGACAGTATATAGTGCAATCCCTGCCCGCTCAACTATCACATGAGTTACATAGACTTGTGGTGTTTGTGAAGCAGCTGGAACAATCCCAGTCTTCCTGCTCACCCCCTAACTTTATTATCTGGGATGCAACAGACCACACCTGTCAGGATGGCTGAAGAAATGGTACCGTAGGCAGCCAGAGGAACCCCCTGCTTGTCCAGGGTGGCTGCCAGCCCCCGCCTGAGCACCTCTTCTTCTAAGCCCGGGCTGAGCAGCTGCTTGGAGAACCAGAGGCGAAAGCGGACAATCACACTGGAATTGCCTTTCCTGCCAAGGGAAAAATTAGAGTTCCTTCAAAGCTAGAACTACTGGAGAGGGGGATGACAGCATCGCTCTATGTTCCCGTGCATATGTGGGAAGGAAATAGCAGTCTCTTACAATGATAAACAGATACAGAGTCAGAGGGGTCCAAGTTTGGTTCAGACACAACTCATGTGAACATCAGAAAATTCACACTAGTGATTCAGGCTTACCAAGTACTTACCGTGATTCGGCGGGGGACACATACGTCTGGCCACTGTGTGACACAGAGTGTTGGACTGGATGGGCCTTTGGCCTGATCCAACATTGGCGTCTCTTATGTTCTTATGTTCTTATGTTCTTCCCAGGACCATCCCCGCGCGGACAACAGATGTGCCGCACCATGCCGTCGCCAGGAAGTGACGCCGGGCGACGCTCTGGCAATGGGGCTGGAAACTCGATGGTACCAGCGTCACTTCCTGGCGACAGCATGGTGCGTTACAGGGAGGAATGTTCCGGCCGGGGAGCATGTGTCCCCCTGCCGAATCGTGGTAAGTACTTGGGAACCCTATAGTGATTCCATGTTGGGGCCATCCTCTGCAATCAAACCACAGCTGTATGTGGATCTGAACATCTGTGGATACTGTGCTTTTGAAGTCATTGACCTCTTGGGTTTTCCCATCCACACAGGGGATTCTGCTCTGCTCTGATCATGAAAACTGCTCTCCCCTCTGTGCTTGCTGATATCTACAGAAGGATTTCTCTGTATTTTTTCCATTTTAAGCTGATTTGGACTAATAGGTCATAACGCCAAGGATATCATCTAGTAGAAGAAATGCCACAGTGCCAATTCCAGGGTTTTTTTGGGGAAAGGCGAGGACAGCAAACAATCTGCAAGTTGACAACTAGCAGGGCTTTTTTGGTAGATAAAGCCCAGCGGGAACTCATTAGGAATTCATTAGCATAATAGGCCACACCCAACAACAGAAACTCGTTAGCATATTAGGCCACACCCCCTGACAGCACAGCTCATTGGCATATTAGGCCACACCCCATGTTACCAGAAGTGTGCTCATCCAGCCACACCCACCTTTTGCTTCTTATTCTGTTTACCTTGTTTGTTGTCAACCAGGGCTTTTTTTGTAGCAGGAACTCCTTTGCATGTTAGGCCACACACCCCTAATGTAGCCAATCCTAATGAGTTTCTGCTAATGCTAATGAGTTCCTGCTGGGCGTGGCCAACTCAGGAGCCAGCCGGAACTCCATTCCTGTGAGTTCCTGCCCAAAAATAGCCCTGGGTTTGACTATGGAATTGTTTCTCATTTCTCAGTCAGTCTCAGCACTTTGGTTACTTCCTCCTCCCCACAAGGTCCAACCTTGAAGGGACAGGTAGGATATCTTTAACAGAGGCTGTGGCTGTTGTTGCCCTGCAAGCTTCTTATGCAGTATGGACTTGAAGTTTAACTTTAAATCTGGACTGTACCATGAGTGTGCCGGGGAAAATGGACTGATGGGAGACCATGTGACAGAGCCAACTTACTGGACAGAGAGACATGTGCACAGCCAAGGGAAGCCTTGCACTGAAGCAGCATGTTGAACCAGACGCGGACCCATGGAAGATCCGATGCCATCCGCCCCTGCCTCTCTAAAGTCACTGCAGACCCAGGTAGATGGCACGCCAGCCTCCCTGAGAGATCGCAGCCACAAAGAGCTAGCATCCAGACTTACAAAGAAGCCATACTTTGCAGAGACAATATGGACCCTTCTTGCTCACACACCATAGCAAGCCTTGTCTCCATCACGCAGGCATTTCCCCACCACCACCTTCTTCCAGCAGCTTTACCTGAAACTGCACATAGTCATCTTCAAGTTAAACAAAAGAACCTGGCCGTGTCAGGAGTAACTGGGCTGACTAGCACACCCATCGCCCACCAAGATAACATAGCTGCAGACCATCGGATCGTTAATGCTAACAACTGGTCAAGCACCTTGAATGACTGCCTGTTCCTCTCCTTTGTCTTAAACCCAAACTCTGAAAGGTGTCACTTAAAGAAACATTATGTCAATTGGCCAACCATTAACCCTATTCTTTTAGCCCATCAAAGCGCTAGCAGCAGCTAGCATGTTCTTGGGGACTACGTGCTTGGTGGCTCATACCCCAAGCCCCTTTTTAGGGTATAAAAGGAGAGAATCTGACCGTGTTCTCTCTCTCACTTCCTCTCTACCTGTGACCTAGGACTTCCAAGCCACGGCAGGGGATCCGTGCGTCTTCACAGGATCCCTGCCGCGGGGGACAGCGATACGTGTTGCACTGCCGTCGCCAGGATGTGACGCTACACGTTGCTCTGGCAACGGGGCTGTTTGGAGTCCCGTTGCCAGAGTGATGTGTAGCGTCACATCCTGGCGCCGGCGGTGCAACGTGTATCGCTGTCCCCCGCAGCAGGGATCCTGTGAAGACACATGGATCCCCCGCCGCGGCTTGGCAGCCCTAACCTGACCCCATCCTACCTTGCTGACTCTCAGTTTAAGAGCTGCCCAGAGTCTACCACATGTTCTGCCGGCCAGAATACGACCCCTATTCCTTATAGTCACCCTTATTTTTTGCTGCAGGATCACTTCCTCTCATCGGACAGCTCAGTATCACCCAACCAACAAATTTCTCCTGCTAATGCAAACGTCTCTATATTTTTCCGTCTAATTTTCTTAGTCCTCTATTGTGTGTATGCTTGTATTTTATTGTATGTGTGTGTAAACTTCCTAGTAAATAAACCATTTAATTAAGACCTGGTCTCTGAGTCTCTTTCTGGTCATCTGGACTAAGTGGGACTCCTGTATACATAGGTTATTGTTCCCATATATGCTTATTGCCATTTAATATTCATATTCCCCAATTTTATTAATAAATTAAGGCAATTTGGCTAACACTGTGTTTGGACATGTGGCTTAAATCACTCATCTCACATCACATTTGTAATGCCAACAAATCTCCTGGCCCATGGCACTTCTTTGCACTCATATTAAGCACCTCAACTAAAGCAAAATCTGGTTTATTTTATTTTTATTTTATTAGACTTATATCCTGCCCTCCCCACATTGTAGGCTCAGGGTGGGTACCAACATATAGGGCTGCAATTAGTGCAGATTTACAATGAAAACATGTTATACCAATCTATTAAAATCAGTAAAATCACCAGCATGAAAACAACAACATGCCATGACAGATAGTAATGTGGTCCCAGTCAATACTCCCTCTAAGCTGTGGAGCCTTGTGAGCAAAAATTCTGCTTTGTGAGCTACTGGCATTAAAGTTGTGAGCAAATGATTCGGCTACTGCATAAATTAGTTGGCTCTGGAGCAATGTTCCCTCTAAGCTCTGGAGTCTTGTGAGCAAAAATTCTACTTTGTGAGCTGCTGGCATTAAAGTTGTGAGCAAGCAATTTGGCTACTGCATGAATTAGTTTGCTCTGGAGCCCTCCTTCCTGAGCTAAGGCAAACATGTGTGAGCTGGAGGCTAAAAAACTGTGAGCTAGCTCACACTAACTCAGCTTAGAGGGAACATTGCTCTGGAGCCATCCTTCCTGAGCTAAGAGAAAAAATTGTGAGCTGGAGGCTAAAAAACTGAGCTATAACTCAGCTTCGAGGGAACATTGGTCCCAATCCGTCTTCTAGGTTTAAGGTGGTCATGTTAAAATGCCCTGACTCATTTCAGACAAAGGCCTCATCTCAGGTGCACCATCGCCTCTGGCCCCGTGGCCAAGTGGGGAGGGGGGCAGTGTGACCCACCTGTACTGCAAGATGGAGCATCTCAAACAACTTCCTTCCAGGGTCGAGTTCTGAAAGCTGCTTTTAAACTAAAAGACAAAAAAAAACCAAGGGGGTCACAGAGTGAGCTCCCAGCCAGGAAGCATCAGAGGGAACCTTTTGAAGAAACCAGAGAAGAAAAGGTTTCTTGCATATAGTTTAGAGTAATCCCAAAACATGGCATTTTAAGAGGGAAGAGGCACGAAGCTTCTCCCTCCCCGAGGAGCCAGCTTACCAGCCTCTCCAGGATGGGAGTCAACGTGCGGTGGTAGTCGGAGTTCTGACACTGCAGGCTGCCGTCATACCGGATCCCTCGCAGCTCCACCAGGTGCTCAAAGAGGACCTCTTGTTTCAAGTGGAAGGCTGTGGAGAGAGAAAAGTGGGCTTTCCAAGGCAGGTGGAGCACCAGGTTCCTGACTGCGGGGCAAAAAGAAGGGCAAGCCTAACCACACCAGCAACTTCTGTAGAGGGGGGAAGAAGAAGAAGAGGAAGAAGAAGAAGTACACAAAAAGGAAGAAAAAGAGGAGGAGGAAGGAGTCTCAGAGCGGCTTACGATCCCTTTCCCTCCCTCTCCTGCTGCTGCTTGTACCCGCCCCTTCTAGGGATTGGGCAACTGGTTCCCGCCCACTTCACACAGGGGGTGGGGTAGCAGTGATTCTGCGGACTCGTCCTGGGCTTTTGTCTAGGGCCAGAATCACTAAGGCCACCCCTGATGTTGTCCAGCCTGGCCAGGTAGACAGCAGTGGAGCTGAACGAAGATCAGAGCCAGTGTGCTCATCCTCACCACTTGGAAACTCTAGCGTGACTTTTGCTGCTTGAAGAAAACCTCTCTCACCAGGCCACTTAGAGGCTAGAAAAATAAAACTGCGTCCGCTTCTAACATTGAGCACTGCTTACGAATTGGGGGTAGCTACTCTAGTAGTCTATTTATCCTGATAGATATTCAGTGCTTATAAAGATGCACACTTTGCTTTGTTTACACAGGAAATGTAAGTCCACTGAAAACCAGTTTTGGTGGAAAGGTGGAGAAGAATGAACATAAATACAGCCTCAGCAGTCCACACAACAGCTTTCAGACTGTGATGTATGAGCAGCCTACATAAGACCCCATTTCAGACTATCTTCTGGTCACCTCTCCTATTGCTTTCTGACTTGATAACAGAATCATAGAGTTGGAAGAAACCTCCAGGGTCATCTAGTCCAACCCCCTGAATAATGCAGGAAATTCATAAATACCTCCCCCCACACCACCAGTGACCGCAGTTCCATGCCCAGAAGATGGCACAAAAAACCTCCAGGATCTCCAGCCAAACTGACCTGGAGAAAAAATTGCTTCCTGACCCCAAAGTAGTGATCAGCATTTCCCTGGGCGTGTAAGAAAGGGCCACAAGAATGTTCATGTTGTTTTTTAAGAACCACTTAAGACTGTGGGCGAAAATCCCTTTTCTTTGATTTTCAACTTCTTTAACTTGTTTGTTGTTACACGTCACCCGTGGTTATATATCGCCAGGGGTCATTTCGTAGAAAAAGAGGTAGGGGAACTCATTAGCATAACTCATTAGCATATGCCACACCCCCTGACATCAGGGGCCCGGCGGTGGACCTGCAAGGCCAGCGGGAGTGTGAGGAAGCCCTGCCAAGGCCCTCCCTGACCCCAGGCAGGCAGGGGTGGGGAGAGGCAGGGAGGAAGCAACTTACCCTCCCTCTTCTCCTGCCTCCTCCTGGCTGAATGAGGGCTGGAAGCGGGGCGGCCGGAAGCAGGGGGTGGGGCTTCGTCATGTGCCCCGCCCCCTGCACCTCACTCGGGGGAACTGCGTTCCCCCGCGTTCCCCCCCCCCGAAATGACCTCTGCATATCGCCATACAATGCTATGTGCACCTATATCACTTTACCCCCAAGCTCTCCTCATTTCCTACATCAGTTGGAGTATTGTAAGCAATGGGCATTCTTGGCAAGTGTTCCCTTAAGAGTTCTTTCTTCTATGAAACACTGAACAAACACTCTGGTTCCTGCCTTGTTCTACCTACAGAGTGGGAGTGGTCAGCTATCCCAGAATAATGGCTGATACACTCCTCTCTCGCGTTATTGCATCTACCCGCTGATGAGAGCCAGCATGGTGCACTGGTTAAGAGTGGTGGACTCTAATCTGGAGAACTGGGTTTGATACACTGCTCCTCCACATGAAGCCTGCTGGGTGACCTTGGGGCGGTCACAGTTCTCTCTCTCAGAGCTCTCTCAACCCCACCTACCTCACGAGGTGTCTGTCGTGGGGAGGGGAAGGGAAGGCTCTGCTTTGAGACGCCTTAGGGTATAGAAAAGCAGGATATAGAAACCTGCTCTTCTTCTTCTGATAGGCAAGGTTCCCCTCCTGTGCACCAGGGCTGGGTTCCTGAGTCAGGCTACTGTTGAATGCAGCCCAAAGCGGGTTATTATGGCCTCTACCCAAGGTTAAATGTGTTGGAAATGTATGCGTTTACAAGGTCTGATGATTCAGTCATTATAGGGTTAACTTGTATTCCTAGTATTGCTATTGTTTAGACTGACCTGGAAGGGATACCTGGCACTAAGCCAATGGGGAATTAGCCCGTGAAAAGTAGCTTCTACTGTGATACAGATTGGTCATTTGTTTCAGGTGACTTCCTTTTCTAGGGGTCAAGAAGAAGGAGAGATTCTCCATTATCTGTGTGCTAGGTTTGACTATAGGCAGCTTAGAAATGTAGCTGTTAGTGTTATGTTAATTTGTAGTAATCCCGTGAACCCTTTACCCTTAGAAATAAAGGTTTTTTAAAGCAAAGAAATCTCTTCTTTCCAATAGAGCAAGATCCATTAATAGTCTAAGTATTAAACACTTTTTGACTATTTTACAACAAAATGAAGCCATTGGGCATGGACAGCAAGGAGCAGACCGTCTCTGCTCCTTGTAGGTAGTGAGGCCAGAGCCCTGGCTCCAACCAAGACAGAGATGCTGCCCTTTCTACAGGACTCACCCATTAGGATCCCGGCTGACACAGCTGTGACGGCGCTGACAAGGACGGTGGCCACCGTCACCTTGCAACACGTCCCACTACCCACCGCTGCTTCCCCTTTTTCTTCGCCCAGCACCGGCTTAACAGCAATGGCTTGCGGGTCCATGCCTGCCTCGGAATGTCTGAGGGAAGAGGAAAAGAGAAGGGTCACAATGAATTCTGCAAGGAAAAAGAAATCCCCCTCTCTTCTGCAGTCACCGTAGTTTGGCTGTGATTTCTGAATGGATCACAGCCACTCTTCTGCCTCTGCATCAGACACGGTGGGTGAAAAATAACACGGACAAACATTTCTAAACGGTGTTTATTGTGCATTCGGAAGGGTAAACCACAGTCTGGGCTCCAAACTGGCCTGGGTCCCTCTGGTCTGTGGGACTCTGCCACTCTTCCTATACTTCATCATGACAATTTTGCTCATCCCAGCAGGGCTTTCGGCAGGTGCCGTCCTGCAAATGGGCAAAACTGATAACTGCCTGTGCTCACACATTTTCTCTTGTTGTGACCCCCAGCTTATGAAATCCACCCCCCGATGAGGTCAGGAAGGCTCCCCCTCTCCTGGGTCTTCTGCAAACAATGCAACACAGAACTCTTCAAGAGGGATTTTTGCACAGGTAAACAGAACTGTTCAACAACCTCAGATATGCAGATGATACCACTCTAATGGTTGAAAGTGAAGAGGACCTAAAGAGCCTCTTGCTCAGAGTAAAAGAGGAGAGCGCAAAAGTGGGCTTGAAGCTCAATATAAAAAAAAACTAAGATCATGGCATCCGGCCCCATCACTCCTTGGCAAATAGAAGGGGAAGTCGTGGAAGTAGTGACAGACTTCACGTTCCTGGGATCCCAGATCACTGCAGACTGTGACAGCAGTCATGAAATTAAAAGACGCCTGCTCCTTGGGAGGAAAGCGATGGCGAACCTAAACAGCATGATAAAAAGTAGAGACATCACCCTGCCAACAAAAGTCCGCATGGTCAAAGCAATGGTATTCCCAGTAGTCATGTATGGCTGCGAGAGCTGGACTATAAGGAAGGCCGAGCGCCAAAGAATAGATTCTTTTGAACTATGGTGCTGGAGAAGACTCTTGAGAGTCCCTTGGACTGCAAGAAGAACAAATCAGTCAATCCTCAAAGAAATCAACCCTGACTGTTCCCTGGAAGGCCAGATAATGAAAATGAAGCTCAAATACTTTGGCCACCAAATGAGAAGGGAGCACTCACTGGAGAAGACCCTGATGCTGGGAAAGATTGAAGGTCAAAGAAGACGGGGACGGCAAAGGATGAGATGGTTAGACAGTGTCAAAGATGCAACGAACATGAAATTGAGCCAACTTCGGAGGACGGCGGAGGACAGGAGGGCCTGGAGGGAGCTGGTTCATGGGGTCGCGAAGAGTCGGACTCGACTGTGCGACTGAACAACAACAAACAGAACTGTACTGTAATGAAATGGTCCAGAATTTGCATTGGCAAAGGGATAGGGACTGCGATCTACACCACAGTATTTCTACCTGACACTGTAAGCAGGGCTATTTTGGGGCAGGAACGCATTCCAGCTGGCTTCAGAGTTGGCCACGCCCACTACAGCCAAAATCTCTATGTGTGTGGCTACAGAGGGAAGGCCTGGACAGTGACACACACACCCCGCGACTCCGAGGTGGGTGGGCCAGGGGCCCCCTGGAAGGATCGGGGAGGCTTTTAAATGCCTCCCCATGCCTTCCCCGGCCTGTCCAAGAGCCGGCTTGCCCGGGCTCCCCACAGCCGTGGGGCGCCCAGGCAAGCCAAGGGAAGGCATGGGGTGTGGCCTAATATGCTAATGAATTCCTGCTGGGACTTTTCTACAAAAAAAACCCTGACTGTAAGTATGCTGCGACTAGAACGTAAGAAGAGCCCTGCTGGTTCAGTCCAACTCCTGCATCTTGTCTCACACAGTATCCAGCCAGTTCCTCTGGACAGCCAACAACAGGGCATAGAGCAGAGGTGGCCAAACTTGCTTAACATAAGAGCCACATAGAATAAACGTCAGATGTCTGAGAGCCGCAAGACATGAACAAATATTACACACATGTTTTTATTGAAAAATAGGCAAATTTGCTTTTTAGTAACATTAAACGAGACTGTCAAAAATAAAAACAAAAGAGGTAAAAACAGATATTGGTAGTGATATTTATTTATCCAATGATATTTGTAGGCTGGGGGGGGCTTTTAGAATGCATTTAAAGTTAAAGTTGCTTTCTTTCTCTGCTCCCCCCCCCCTCCACCTCAAGCCTACCCAGGGAGGGGAACACTGGCTGGGGAAGGGAAGACCAATTGGGGAGGCATGCCTGCCCTCTGCTTCCCCAGCCGCCCTGCTGGGAGCCACACAATATATGTGAAAGAGCTAAGAATTTGTGTAAAGTAGTATTTCCTTTTGTCCATCCAGAACCTACTGCCCGTCAACTTCACTGGATGCCCTCAAGTTCTAGCCTTTTGGGAGAGGGAGAAAAAGTCCTGTCTGCCAATTCTTTCCATCCCATGGACCATTTGATAAACCTCTATCATGTGTCCCCCTTAATGGTCTCTTTTTTCCTTCCAATGCCAACGCCACAGAATGGAATGGAATGGATGGACAGAATGGAACAATCAGCTGTGTCCAAGGGCCACAGAGAGATCTAACAGCATCAACAGGGATGACTGTCTCCTGTCCAGCTTTAAGCAAGGTCATCCACTACTGCAGCTAAAGCTGCTGCTATTCCCAACCCAGGCCTGAAGGGAGACTCAAATGGGTCAAGGGCAGATGGAAACAAACAAAGACAAAACAGGGAAACAAACAAAGACAAAAAGAGGAAACAAACTCAACCCGAACTATACTGATAATCCCACAATAGTCAAGCTACAGCAGGTAAAACATCAAAATAAATGTTTACTATACGGTGTAAAGGTAAAGGTTCCCTTGCTCGAAAGCCAGTCGAATCCGCCTCTAGGGTTGCGGTGCTCATCTCCGTTTCAAAGCCGAAGAGCCAGCGCTGTCTGAAGACGTTTCCGTGGTCATGTGGCCGGCATGACTAAACACCAAGGCGCACGGAACACTGTTACCTTCCCACTGAAGTGGTACCTATTTATCTACTTGCAATTTCTTGCTTTCGAACTGCTAGGTTGGCAGGAGCTGGAACTAGAGATGGGAGCTCACTCCATCATGCGGTACCCGGGTCTCGAACTGCTGAACTACTGACCTTCTACAGCCTGCAGTTCAGCGTCTTAACCACTTGAGCCACCGCAGCTCCTACTATATGGTGTACACAATAGTAATTTTTTTAAGGACCTGGATATCAGGCTGCATTAAGAGTCAGAACAAGCTTTACAAAAGCTGTAACAATTTCCCATACAACGTTGAAGAACATGACAAACATTACCATATGTGTTTCGGCCTCAAGGGCCTTTCTCAGTGGTTAATAATACATACTTAAAAAAAAAAAAACATATCCAGAAAACACTATACATCAGTCCTGACCAGGACTGTGTGGTATAAAGTAAATTTATAAAGCAGGTTGTGGATCTCTTCACATGGTAGCTGCACTCACACATCAGTCTTCATTGATGGAATAATCCAGTATAGAATTTTCAATACTTCAGGATGTGTGTGTTATCAACCAGCAATTGAAGTCAAAATGTGAAAACTGGAGATTGATGGGCAGATGAATAGGTGCTACTTTTGCGTCTCTCATCCAGCCGATCATCAGCATCCTCTAGCTCTCTGTACAGATTGGTCAGCTTGCTAACATGCGCATGGGAATATTCTGCATCATGATACTTAGTTGCTGCCAGCCACTGGTGCAGTGAATACATAAATGCCCAACCCTTACTCTGGTGGGCCAATTCTAAGACTGGATATATCTCCTTAGCTGTTGGCAACTGTCTAATCTCCGATAAGTAATTGTCACTCACGGAGCTCATTATTAAGGCACGCACTTTCAGATCTTGTTTTTTTCTGAATAGTAGATTGTTACGTAATGTAATGAATAGTAGAATGTAATGTAATTTGGAATGGTAGATTGGAATGTATTTCTCTGGCCTGGGGACAGGGGAGATAACTCTACAAAACCAATCGCTCCACTTCAAAGAAGAAGATGCTGTAAGGTCGCCTCCATGCTTGAGAGGAGACAGATGGAGCGTAATGACAGAATCTCAGTTAATTACTCTCAGCATTCCACAAGGATACACCTGCCCACCAGTCTCCAATTCTGACATATTCATTTCCTTCACTATGTTTCCCCTTGGAATTAAACCCAAACAAATGGTGACTGTATAAACTAAGCTTGTTATTCCTGTTTGGTCCTCGAATCTGTTCTTTTTTTTTTGATACTTTATTTCATTTTCCAAATTAAAACAAACAAATCAGATGCTTAACATTTCCTAACGGATGAGCATACAGCTATTACTCTTTTCCTGCAACTTCCAGTGCTTCGCTATTCTTCTTTACTATTCAACTAACAAATAAGTATACTACCTCTTCTTTCTATAACACACCAAAACACAGTTATATTAACCCATCCTGTTTCATGTCCAAATGTACAATTTCTTCCAGGTATTTATAAAAATCAAATCATCCTTCCCCCTTAATATACAAGAAAGTTTGTCCATTTCAGCCACATCACATATCTTCTGTATAACTTCATTCTTTTCTGGTGTTTTATCCTCTTTCCAGTACTTTGCGTACAAGATCCTAGCGGCCGTGAAACAGTAGATCAAAAAGTTTTTTTCAGCTTTCTCATACGACTCCGGAATCATATTTAAGATACACATTTCAAGTTCAAGAGGGATTTGCTTTCCCATTATTTCACCCAGCATTTTAGTAATCATCACCCAATATTTTTTTGCTTTACAACAGTTCCACCACATATGTAAATAGGTGCCTACATTCTGCTTACACTTCCAACATATATTGGAGGTCGCTTTAGAAAACTTGGCTAACTTAACAGGGAACATATACCATCTCATGGCGACTTTGTAAATATTTTCTTTGAAGGAAATTGCTCTAGTAATCTTTGTATTAGTATCCAATATTTTTAACCAGTTAGCAATTCCTATATCATAACCTAAATCCTTGTTCCAAGCCGCCATACTAGATCTTATCACCTCTTCTTGCATTTTAGTTTCCAGTAAATAGCCATATATATTTTTTATCATGCGCCCCCCCCCTTAATCCAGATTTTATCCAATTCTACGGGTTTGTCGTAAAAATCATATTTCCGGTCCTCCTTATATCTCGACTGTAATTGCATTGCTTGTAACCAGGACAGTTCCTTATTTTGCTCTTTCAAACTTTCAATTGGTTTAAGATTATTTTTATCATCTAATAATTCTTCATAACTTAGTTTCTTTTGATAATCATACAAGTTTGGGAAAACAAAAGCCTCAATTGGAGATATCCATTTGGGTATTTTTAAATAATATTGCTGTTTCAATTCCTTCCAAATTTTAAATAGTAAACCTCTTATATAGTGTTTCTCAAATACCTTTTTCCCCTTGTCATACCAAATGGTGGCGTGCCACCCCATAGCGAGGTCATGGCCCTCCAGTTTAAGAAGCCTATTATTTGACAGTGTCATCCAATCTTTTAACCATATCATGACTGAAGCTTTATAGTATAATTGCCAGTCAGGCAAACCTAGACCACCTTTCAGTGTCTTTTCTTGCATGGTTTTCAGTTTAAATCTAGGTTTCCTGGCTTGCCAAATGAATTTTGAGACCATTGTATTTAGTTCTTTAAAGATTTTTTGGTTCTTAATAACTGGTATTACTTGAAACAAAAACATAAGTTTAGGAAGAATACACATTTTAATAATTGCAACCCTACCCATCAAGGATAACTGTAGATCTTTCCATTTTTCTAAATCGGTTTTTATCTCCGTCAAAACTTTCTTATAATTATTATCGAATAGAGCACTGCATTTATTTGTTAACCAGATTCCTAAATGTTTAACTTTTTTGCATATTATGAATCCAGATCTTTTTGCTAACAAATCCTCAGTTTCTTTTGAACAGTTTTTCGTTAATATTTTAGATTTCTGTAAATTAATTTTCAGACCTGCTACCTGCCCATATATGTGAAGGGTGTTTAAAAGATATTCGATTGAGTCTATGAGTCTACGGCATAGGCCTGTAATTTAAAGTGCTCTCCTTTTACCTTCAACCCTTTAATTTGGGGGTCCGCTCTCACTATGTTGTTTAAAACTTCCATTGTAAATATAAAAAGTAGTGGAGATAGGGGACACCCCTGCCTGGTGCCCTTTTGTATTGCGAATTTCGATGTGGAATCGCCATTGACAATTATTCTAGCTTCTTGGTACTGATAGATCGCCCGTATCATTTGCAAGAACCCTTCTCCACACTCCCAGTGCATCAAGTTTCTTTTTTATAAACTCCCAACTAACGTCCTCGAATCTGTTCAACATCTTCATTATGCTATATGCTAATTTACTGCTCACCCTCTACCTATACGTATGGACTGGTAATTTTCTTTTCATTGTATCTGAAGAAGCATTCATGCACACAGAAGCTTATACCCAGAATTAAAGTTTGTTGGTCTTAAAGGTGCCACTGGACTCAAACTTTGTAATGTTGGACTAGGACGTGGAAGACCCAGATTCACACTTTATATCAGGTGACTTTGAAAATGTTTTAGAAACTTCAGTTGGGCCAAGAGGCAGTGACCAGGTTATTGCTGGCCAGGAGATCTCCCACCCCTAGTAGGCACATGGCAGTCCTACTTTGCAGCTGCTGGTGTGACCCTGGGTCAGTCACAAGTTCTCTCAGGTTATTGTTGTGGATCAGATACAGGGACTGTATCATTCCTATGCCAGGGAAATGTCACATGCACATCAATGTCATTTCCAGAAGTGATGTCAGGCAACTATCTAGCAATCCCCCAAATCTTGATGGTTTTACCACAGGGATTTGTGGCATTGCTAGACAGTCACACGACGTATCATTGTCACTTCCAGAAGTGACATTGAAACATGTGTGATGTCACTTTCTCCACTCCACCCCTCATTTTTCTCCTGCCACTCAGTTGAACGGTGGCAAGGCCATGGGCCCATGGGCAGGTGATTGCCTGCCAAATCCAGGCAACTAGAAAAACTATTCTGCCACCTTCTCCAGGCACCTGTTCAGGATTTCCACCAGACGTCCATAGCTGTTAAGGAGAAATATTTCTGGGTGTCATCCACATATTGGTGGTACCTTACTCGAAACTACACCCTGAACATGCCTCAGTGAATTTCACATTGGGATCTTAATAAGTTGGAAGCACAAGGGATCACTGCTACCAGAACGCATCTGTGGGATTCAAGCTGTGGAAGATGCATTGCAGAGTTGCCAATAGGGTTTGCTTGCCACTTACCTGGTTCTGCTGGGAAAGCTCCCAGCCATGCTTCGTGTCCCCCAAGCCTTGTTCAATAGAGCAGCAGGAGAGGGGGGTGCTGATCAACTCCTGAATGTCACTTCTAGCTGCGGAACAGGGAATGACATCATGAAGATGTAGGATTTTCAAAATCTCCATGGTTTTACCATAGATTTGTGAAACTTGTACTGTTGTTTTGATGTCACTTCCTGTCCCAAAAGAGGAACTGATATCTCATAAGTCTCCATCCTAGACTTGCCAGCATGAGAGGGGTGGGCTGTCAGCTCTGGCATGCCCACTTCCTGGAAAACCCAGAAGTGACATCCATCCTTTCTAGGAATTGCTGAAAGCTTTCTGGTAGTTCCTAGGGGGTGTGGTGTCATTCTAGGTTTTCCCAGAAGTGATGTCATGCTGTTGTTGGTGGTGGTGATTTTAATTTTTCTTTCTTTCTACCATTGGCTACCAAGGTGCCACTGGACTCAAACTTTGTAATGTTGGACTAGGACGTGGAAGACCCAGATTCACACTTTATATCAGGTGACTTTGAAAATGTTTTAGAAACTTCAGTTGGGCCAAGAGGCAGTGACCAGGTTATTGTTGGCCAGGAGATCTCCCACCCCTAGCAGGCACATGGCAGTCCTACTTTGCAGCTGCTGGTGTGACCCTGGGTCAGTCACAAGTTCTCTCAGAGCTGTTCTCTCAAGGGCAGTTCTCAAAGAGCTCTCTCAGTCCTACCTACCTCACAGGGTGTTTGTTGTGGGGAGGGGCAGGGAAAGGAGATTGTAAGCCGCTCTGAGACTCCTTCAGGTAGTGAAGGGCAAAGTATGAATCTAATCTCTTCTTCAACTTCCAAGTGCTCCAATGGCTTGCCAGGCAATGGCTAGCAGGCAAATTAAACCACAGTCTTTACCCTGCTTGGTGATTTCATCTCTGAGTTAACACCAGGAATGAAGTTGTGGTGTTGGCGCAACACCGATCCCCCTCCCCCTCAAATTTTGCTCCTACTGGTCTAAACAGAGCAGTGAGGGCGAGGCCTGGGTGGAAAGGCATCCAGCTGTAAATCTAGCCATAAATAGCTTTTGTGAGAATAATTCTTCAGTTTTTAAGGGGCCACAAGACTCCTTATTTTTACTGTTTTTATTATTTTGGTTTTATAAAAACACAACTATCCAACAGTCTCAGAAAAAAGGATATTCTCTCCAAGTTCTAGCATGTTAGAGCACTTTGAGTACTAAGCCATTACAGAAAAATTAACACCCCAATTAACACTAACTAGGCTCTGGTCAAACCAGATACGTTTCAAATAAAATGGTATCCTTTCATTACAGACATGAACAGGGATCTGAGTGTCTCAAGGCCTCCCTGGAGCCCAGACTCCTTTTGGCTAGACTTGATTACCAGATGATTATATGACTTGCAGTTTTCTTTTGTGTGTCACGTTGTAATGATAAACCTGGAATGGCTTTGCGTGACTCTGTCTTTCTGTAACTATGGCTTTGCTTCGGCACCACCTCAGTTTCAATGCCACTCTCACTTTCTCGCTGTTGCTCAGAAAATCCCAAAAAGAGAAAAGAAAGTCAAAAAATTATTCTGACTCACAAAATCCTCCAGCACCAAAATCCTAATCTTAGAATACAAAGTTTTTCCAGTTTTGTGGTTCTTAAGTGGATGAAAAAGGAACCAAATGCCACAATAAAACAAACCACTCTAAAACTTACCCTTTGTGTGCCAATTTCTCTCTCTCACTTTAATATTTATTTAATTAATTAATTATTTAATTTATACCCCGCCCTCTCCACAAAAGTAATTATACTCTTTGGCATCTGTCATGATGAGCCAAGGCCTGAGGCTGTGGAGTGGAGCAGCCTGTCAGCCTCACGACAGCCTTTCGCTCACACACAGGCCTCAGGCCTTGCTGCAGATTTTCTCCCAGGCCTACATTTCCCAGGCATCTGCAAGTCTCAAGACTGGACCAGGGCAAGAGATTGGAAAAACAGGAGCCAATCACTGTTGAGGAGAGTATATAAGGCCCTGCACAAAAAGGGTGGCAAGTTTGGGGAGTCAGGTATTGACTAGAGCTGCCAAATCGGGCCGAGGGGTGGGGAAACCCCCGCTTTGGAGGCCCGATTTCCACCGCGGCGGAATCGGCCCCGGGGGAAACCCCACCCCCGCGTGCACGTCACAGGGAAGTGACGTCATGACGCCGGGCATGCTGGGGGCGGGGCCACAGCCATTTGAGGGGAAAACATAGAGTTTCCCCCTGAAATGGCTGTGGCCCTGCCCCAGCGTGCCCGGCGTCATGACGTCACTTCCCTGTGACGTGCATGCGGCGCGGGAGCCGGGCTGGAGTCCCCCGCCACAAGGGTAAGTGCCATTTGGCAACCCTAGTATTGACAGAGAATCAGTAATCCACTAAAGATAACTGCATTTGGAAACGCCATTTTCCTTCTGGCTTCTTTCCCTGTAAGTCTTATTCTGGGTGTTCGTATGTAGTGCCTAGGGTTGCCAGCTCTGGGTTGGGAAATTCCTGGAGATTTGCAGGTGGAGTTTGGAGAAGGGAGGGAACTTAGCAGGGATGCGATCCCACAGAGTCTATCATACAAGGCTGCCATTTCCTCCAAGGGAACTAATCTCTGTCATCTGGAGATCAGTTGTAATTCTGGGAGAAGAGATCAGTAATTCCAGGCAAAAGAGATCAGTTCACCTGAAGAAAATGACCGCTTCAGAAGGTGGACAGTATAGCATTATAGCCTGTTGATGAAGATCCTCCCCTCCCAAACCCCACCTTCCTTAGGCTCCACCCCAAAATCTCCAGGTATTTCCCTCCCAGAGCTGACAAACCTAGGCCTATTATGCACACACAGTTTACTGCAGATTTTCCAAGGAGCAAACCTTTAAGCTTGACTTTGGATTCTGTACCCGCCTTACGCACCATTTTTCCCCCTTCGGTGTATGTATTCCACAGCTACAATAAAAACAAAATCCCTCACTTTTCTAAATTGAGGTGGAACATCACTTGTGACGTGTTAGGGGTGGTGTCCAAAGTGTTTTGCACATGCATTTTAGCTGTAGTTTGTTGAATGAAAGGGAACAGAAAGGGCAGGCAAAGGGGGGAAACCCACTGTTGAAACTGACCAGACTTTTTCTGAAATTGACAAGCAACTGGGAAGCCCCATTTTAGGGGAGTCTCTGCTGTGTTACCAGCCACTGTGAAAAAGGTGAGTAAGAGTGACATGATCTCATAATATGGGAGAACATATTGAGTGTACAGAATGCATGGTAGAACCCACTGACACAGTAGAACCCATGTGTTTGTGTGTCTGTGTGTGCATGCACACACTTGTGCAAAGTTGGCTGCAACTCCACCACGCTTTGCAGAGGGCTGCATTTTTTTTTAGCATTTTCAATATCTGGAGTTGGGTAATCCAATATCTGCCTACACCAAACTAGTGGACCAACTGATTTCTGCACTGGGGTCACTTTTATCTTTGGTGAGGTATATAACCACCCTGTCTCGTCTTCCTCACAGCCAGCCGGCTGCTCCAGCTCTTTGGGCCTCAGCAGCTTTACTTCATCCAGGAAGCTGCTGGCATTTCCCCCAGCCACTCTTGCAACTGAGCTGCCACCTCCTCTGTTCTCCTCACTTGACTGAGGCTGCCTGGACCCAGCCTTAGGGCTGAGATAGCAGTTCTCGAGCCCCAAAAGCAGCTGGCTGCTCCTGGAGGTGGGAGACAACAAAGGTGACGGCAACAGTGGGGTGGTGCTGATGGTGGAAATGGCGGTTGTTCCCTGGATGGTTTGCAGAAGGTCCATGTGGCTCAGCTGCCATTTTAATGTTAGGCTTCCAGAGACTGCCAAAATAGTTCCCTCCAAAATTTGTTCACTAAAGCATTGAAGGGAAAAATGTTTTCAAAGCTTTAGGCTTCCCATCTCTGTCTCTGTCTTTACATCTCATGTCAATTTCATTCCACACTCTCCCCCCCCTTTATTTTGTTTGCATGCAGCACTGAAGTACTTCCCCCTCCCCACTGGGGACACTACCATTTGCCTCCTCTCCAATCCTCCTTTCAAGTAAATACCAACAAGGAACTAAGTCTCGAACAACTCCTTTTAAACTCCCCCCTGGTTGTTTTAATTTTTTAAAAAATACTTTAATTTAATTTATAATATTTAAATTAATTTTTTTAATTCAGTGATCTCAGACTAGTGACAGTCTCATATCGATAAACTCATGCCTTGTATTAAAAAAACCTAAAACTTAAAAACAACAAGGGGGAAATGGAGCTTGCACGCCGATGAAGGGGGGAGGATGGCGGAAGGTGCAGAGTGGACAGAACACCCTCAGTGTGGGTAAGGGAGTGACCTTCGAGGGGTGGGAAAAGGGCAGGGGGGAATCCAAGGGAATCTGTCTGCTTTTGAATTACCTTCAGCTTGGAAGCAAAGCAAGGGGAAAAAACGGCACAAAAGCACTCTCAGAAAACCCAGGGGAAAAGCGAACGGAAACTGAGTGCTGCTGAAGGGAGGAAAAACAATGCAGAACAAAAAAAATCCATGCATAGCAGGCCCTAGTTGTGTTCATTCTTTCCTGTTCAAATAACTGTTCTTTTAATTAACTTAATCGTTACTATATTTTATTTATTTGGTGCCTGGGTCCCTCATGCCTAGGAGTGCCAACTCCTAGAATTTTAACTGAGCTACAGTTCTCTGTAGCTCTACAATAATATATTCTACTGAGGTTCCTCCCTTCTCGCGACTGCACCCTCCACAGGCTCTACCTCCAAATCTCCCAGAATCTCCCAGCCCAGAGTTGGCAACTCTATAATCATGCCTAGCACTGCCAACTGCAAGTTGGGAGATTCCTGGAGATTTTGGGGCAGAGCATGGGGAAGGTGGGATTTGGGGGAAGGAGGGACCTCAGTGGGGTATAATGCCATAGAGTCCACCCTTCAAAACAGTCCATTTCTCCAGGGGAACTGATACCTGCAGTCTGGAGGTCAGTAGTGTTTCCAGGAGATCTCCAGGTCCCATT